TCAACCTTCCATTGATTCAATTCTATTTCTTAGCCCTTTCAATGTACTAGTTCTGAAGTCTTAATACTACTCTCTGACTTTCTAATTGTGGTTTTTGTATGGTTTCCATTTTTTCATTTATTTTGTCAGTTTGTTCTTATAGTATTTTCCTGAATCCTTCTTAAGTTTTCTTCTGTGTTCTTGCTTTCCTCAATCTTTCTCACAATCTGTTCAAAGTACCTAAATATCATTCTTTAAAATTCCTTATCAAGTAGTTCTGATTACCATTTCTGGTATTATATTTTCTAACTATATTTTGGTCACTTGTTTGACATACTGTATCTTGTTTCTTTGTGTTAGCTGAAAATAATTTTCTCCAAGACATTGTATATTTATATTTAATTAAAGATTGTATACTGGTGTGTTCTCAGGCACACACCACCTGTAACTTGTATCCTGGTGGATGTGATAGAAATTGGAAGTGTGATTGCAGTTCTCTGTTCGCTATTTATGTTGTGTAATTCAGGGCAGGTTCACATGCTTCCAGAAGTAGGGGTGGCACTCCTGGTGCCCCACCCCAGACAGAACTGAGGCTGTGCAGAAGGGGGTGCCACTGGTCACTGGGTTAGTGAGGGCAGGGACTAGACATGCACCCAACTACCAGGAGGGCATGGAACAAGAACTGCACCCCACTTCTAGTCATCAACCTCTAGTCATGTCCTGTGCCTGCAGGCCATTGATTTAACAGCCACTTGCAAAAGCTCAAGGTGACCTTGCAGCTCTACACCAGTTGACAGCCCATTTTCTTCTCTCTCATTGCTCCTGTTCAGCTTCTTCTTCCAGTCAGCACTCAGTCTTCCTCTCTGTCTTATCTTCTGAAGCTCAGGGTTCCAGGACTGCATCTGTAACTATTTCACTTGGTCGTCCATATCTTTGTTGCAGAGGGTCTGCTCAATGCATCTGCTTACTCCAACATCTTGCTCCAATTCCATTTTTTTTTCACAAACTTTTTTAAGCCCCTTCCTGCTCAGCTTACTTCTCTGCCAACTTTTATTCCTGTCTGTGGTAGGGCAGGCTGTCAAGAATAGGATATTAGAATGGGCTATCCCTTTCCATCTCTTTAAAAAAGGTCTCCACACAGGATAGTTTGTGTGTTAGGGGGAGTGGGGAGGGGGGAGGGGAACAATATACAAGAAGAGGGAGGGGAATGGAAGAACAAGGTGGATGAGAGAACAGTTAGGCAGGTTTGCATGGGCTAAGTGGGACAGAGGTAAATAATGATGTATGCGCAACACTGGACTGACAGGACTCTAGGATATAGGGATTGAGGCATGGCTAAAAGAGGGGAAATAATGTTAAGATGCTTGGCTGTCTTTTGAATCTTAGTTTCCCTTGCCTACTATTGTAAAATAGACACTTGAGGGGGAGAGAAAGGAATAGCCAGAAACATCACCACAGAAAGCTTGTAAGCCCATCTTCAGCCTGTAACTGATTGGAATACCTAAAATGGGGCTAGAACTTGCCAGTGAAGGAGGATTCCTACAGAGCCTTTGCATTGCATACGACCATAGGTGGAATCCTGATCCCCATCCAGAATCTTCTGAGGTAGGAAATTTACACTTGAAAGGACAAGCTGACCAGCCTGGAGCAGCTAGAAGAACAGAAGATACTTCTTGAAAGAAAGACAAGCAGGAAAAATAAATAACAATAATAGCAGTCTGACTGACTACTACAAGAACAAGCAAGTTGTTTGCCTAGGAGCCATCAAGGCAAGCAATCAAGTCCCCTCAGGGCAAACCCACTTCCAAGACTGAGACTCAAGGGAAACATACCAGCAGGCATGTGGTCTTGCTGGTGACCACATGGGTCACCGATAAGGGGAAGTGGAGGAAAAACAGCAATGAAGTTGTGAGCTAAGTCTGACCACGTTCAATGACTCCTGTCAACCTGGGTTGAGACCTGGTTGGCAAGTAGTGTGGAAAGACCTGGGGACCACTGGGTCCAGAGAGAGGGACATGGCCACAGAGGACTGGAGTAGAGAGTGAAGCGTCCAGCTGATGTGACGTGAGGGGAGATGCATAAGAACAAACATCTATAGTTGCAGATAGTACCCACTTGACCTGGCTTCAGCGGCTGGATGATCAGAACTCAACCAGAGGAAGAAAGAAGAGAGAAAAAAGAGTAATCTGCTACAATTTGATGAACTTTACCTATACTTGTGGACGTAGGAGCTCAAAAGAAGGAATACATTTTTACAATGAGGATCATTGCCACCCCCTCGGTACACAGGGTAGACAGGGATGTGCAATGTAGACATTGACTACCCAAAATGGGGGGGCTACAAAGGCAAGAAGTGACTGGCTTACAAGCTTTCAAGAGGTAGCCTAGTTCCATAGAGTGTGGGGGTAAGTAGAATCTTCACTGAGTGGTTTCCAACCTGTCTGGACGGGGCTGATGAAAGGAGATGGGGATAAGACTCTTGTGATTTAATAGTGAATAATTGCTATCAGGACTGACTGTGAGTGTTGGAAATTAAAGGTAGATGTTTTGTAACAAAAGGATGGGAGTGGTTGATTTTGCAGTCCAGGAGCGCAGGTCCCTGGGACCATCAAGGAAGAAGAGCGGAGTGCGGGACCCTATCCAGAGAAAGCAGTGATGCCAGAAATGGAGGCAGAGACAATGACGTGGAGAGATGGAGCGTCTGGGGACCCTGGACTCAGGCTGTGTGCTGACAGCTGGGGGGCAGGCGTATGGGTGTACCCTTTGGTTGTTTGATGATGCATGGAGGGCATTGTAATTATTGCAGTGAAACAAAATACGATAGGATGAATGTAAAGCTAATGTTCTCCCATGTAAACTATCAGTTAATTCACAATAAAAACTAAAAAAGAAAAAGAAAAAGATAATGGACTTTTCCCATGAAAAGTAAAAAAAAGGTCTCCATTTGGGAGGCAAAGAATTTGAGATAAACCCGCTGCCATCGAGTTGGTTCTGACTCATTACAACCCTACAGGACAGAGTAGAACTGCTCCGCAGGGTTCCCTAGGCTGTAAATCTTTATGGAAGCAATCTTGCTCCTGTGGAGCAGCTGGTGGGCTTAAACAACTGATCTTTTGGTTAAGAGCCTGATGCTTACCCCAGTGTTCCACTAGGGCTCCTGTAATTTGAAGATGAGATGACAAGTGTTATCAGGCAAGTGCAGCAGGCTGTGGTTATCAAGAGGACCCAGCTGGGAGTGGTGAAAATACTGAGGCATGGTCTTAGCTCTTTCCTTCCAATCCCTACCCTTCTTTGATCCATCACGGAGTTCTCCTGTCTCAGTCTTTAAGCAGCAGTGTCCCTGACTGTGTTTGATCTTTGCAGCATAGCCCTTTCCCTCAGCTTCACAAGGTTAGTTATAAGTAACTTGATGTGCTTGTAACCAATGAAGAGCCACATAATTGGCTGAATTGGGTCAATTTTGCAGATTTTGGCCCCTCCTGATCTCACTGCTTTGAGGGAATTATGCCATATGGACAGCAATTACATGATTCTCGTGGCTGTGGAGGAGAGCCATGGAGTCCACCAAGTCTGAGCCCTTGATGGTATCACCTGAGGTAAGCCAAGGTTGTTGCTTCCCCGTTTCCCAAGAAAACTGAGGTCTGGAGGGAAGAGTTTGGTTTTTGGCTATGTGTGAGTTCACTGTTTGTGAAGAGTGGGGAAGTGGACACAGGGTAGTGACTCATGAGACAGCCATGGGACTGGAAATTGAACCCTGGCGTCCTGACTCCCAGACCAACAAAGTTAATCGGTTCTCAGCAATGTCTTTCCGACGTTTTGTATCCTGGATTATGTAGTCGAATATGTTTACTTTTTGCTGATTGCTGCAGCCCTAAAGAGTCAGAAAAGAAAAGATGGCTTGGCAAGAAAGTAAAAAGTCAACAATCTCCCGGGGCTTTTGGCCAAGTTTCTATTCTCAGCTACAGCCCCACCCTCACCCGGGTTGATGTAACTAGAGCCCTAGCCCCGCCCCAAGCAGAGGCCAAGCCCCTCCTACAGCCCCCGCGGTTTTAAAATCGACATTCTACTTGATTGGTTCGTCTTCACAACAAAGGGGAGGGGAGTATTCGCAGAGGACTTCCTTGTAGCCTTTAGGCATTAGGGTTCGTTTACGGGTTCAGGCCTCTTGTTGGGGCTACTGTGGTGCCTCGGGCTGCTGAAACCAGCCCCCAGACGGTGCCAGCTGTGGTAATAAAGCAGTGACTACTGTGTAAAGGTGGCATAATTGTCGCAACAATAACAACCGTAATTAAGCTAACCACCATCCACCTCCGCCCTGGCGTTCGCCCTGACTCACCCTGACGGCACGCTGACCATCAGGGGACAAACTGAGGCAGAGGCGGAGCCAACAGACTGGAGATCTAGTCGCCCTTAAACTAAGTTCAAAACCTGTTGCTGGGATCCGCATTAAGGGACCAGACCCGCGCGCACCCACGAAGCTTGGTTCTGAAATAGCCCTTCGCCTCCAGATTCGACCTCGCTTTAGGTTTCGGGGCTCTAAACTTCCCCAGGCCCTAAACTTCCGCCAGGTCCAAGGCAAAGAGTCGCTTAGAGAGCTGGGACTGGACACCAGACTACAACTCTCTTGAGCCTTTGCACGCTAAGGCGCGTTCCTTGTCTACGCCGATAAGCCACCCGCGACCCCTCACTACGCGATGCCTCCTGGGAGTTGTAGGGCAGCGACGTGCTTCTTTGAGCAAATGCCAAGGCTTGAAGACTCTATATCCCGTGGTGCCGCGCGGCTGTGTTTGACGCGACCCTGAGGCCAGGGGAGGGGCTGTGGGCGGGGCCTGAGCAGAGCCCCACCCAGCTCTCTGGCTGGCCCGACGAGGCAGTGGCAGTAGAGGCAGCGGCGGCGGCGGTGGTGGTGGCGG